TTAAGTTTTCACCAGTTTAAGTTTTATATCATCGTCAAAAAAGGTTGGACTTTGTTTACTTTAAGAACGTTGTCTGAAATTCTATGCATTATGTCCATAAATACGTGACCTCTGCCTATCCCTTTTTAGAGTCGCGGAGAACCTAACGGTTAACCGGGGCTCCGGCTCGACGTGCAGGAGAAGGAACGGGGTGGTTTTTAGTCAGTAAGAGTCTGACACTCTCTCTCGCCTCACCCGGGCGGGAGCAGTCATTCGATGATTTTCCCCCCTTAAAAAAAAAAAAAAATCCCTTCTTAGAACAACAAGTCGTCATGTTATGTCTACGTTTTTTTTAATTAATCAGCTTCATGACTCATTACGGTAAGTAAACAGTCTAGCAGACGATTTAAATTGGACCTTATGACGTAAGGAATAGAGACGTTCATATTTACTTGGATACAATTGTTCTAAAAGAATGGTGAACATGCGCACGAGTATTTAAAATAAACGTGTCATTTACATCAATATGCTGTTATGACGTCATTATATGCTGAATATGACATAATTATAGTTAATTGTATTTTTAAAACAATTGTTCTGTCATAAATACTATTGTTTATTTTTTTCTAGTAGTCATAGGGAGTTCAAGTTACCTGTCGGGGTGAGTCAGGGTCATAAATGAGGCTGGTTATTATCCACGGCGTTTCATGGGGTAGTAGTAGTAACGGGGTGGTTTTTAGTCAGTTAGTAGTTAGTAGATTTTTCCCCTCAATAAAAAAGGTTTTTTTAAGGGGGGAAAATCATCGAATGGCTGCTCCTCGCCTGGGTGAGGCGGGAGGGAGTGTCAGAGTCTTACTGACTAAAATTCACCCCGTTCCTTCTTCTGCACGTCGAGCCGGAGCCCCGGTAACCCGTTAGGTTCTCCGGGACCGTTAGGTTCTTAGGTTAGATGTATATCACACAGAAGCGTGTAACGATTCTTATAATGAAATCTTCTATCTACTACATATAATAAAATCGTAGAAAAGTCAAAACTGTACATTGAATATTTAAAAAAAAAGAATACTTGAAGCGTGATCTACAACCGATACTGAAGCCAAAAATATGGTTTTTATATTTTTTGTCTCTTTGTCTGTTTGTCTGTGTGTATGTCCGGGATGATCTCCAAAAGTACTGCATGGATTTACTTTAAATTTTGCATGAATATTACTAACAGGTCGGGCCAACATATAGGCTACATATTATCACGCTATCATCTGTGGCAGAGCAGCTGTGAATCACAATTCCACGCGAACGAAGTCGCGAGCAACAGCTAATACCTAAACATAGATAAATAAACATTCTTGAACTAAAACTCATCATTATCAATTTACCACTTTAGGTGTGAAAACGTGACAAACAGATAGAAATATAATATTAGTTAGGAATTAGGATTAAGCAATAACAGATTAGGTAAATATTATTTATTGTATTCTGAACTTTGTGCACTTAAGTTGACTTTCGTTATTTGTACTTTGTTCATTAGAGTAAGAAAGAGGTTTTAGCTGTTCGATCCATAAGTGGTCAACGGTGACCGCTCTCCATTAATACCATTATAGACCTTATTTCCGATGTTCAGAGACTACTTTTGTATGAACTAATTTTGGGCATTTTCAGTATGATAACAGCGTTTTTTAAAGTTTACTGTGTTTTTTTTCAAATAAATGGAAATACATGAATTATGTCATAAGTAAATAATCTCAGCTTATCGATAAAATCTATAATTTGATCAATGAATAGCGCTATGCCACGCAATTTTAGACTCAATGCTTAAGTAAATCGTTTCAAAATTGATAACTTTCATAATTCCATTAAATATTAAACATTTTTAACCTCTATTTTAACATACCTCCATGACCTATGTACCTCGTTTTTATATATGTGTTGTCTTTTGTGTTGTATGTGTGTACATCACTACATATTATAAAACAAAGTGTCTCCGTCTATCTGTCCCTATGTATGCTTAGAGCTTTAAACCTACGCAACTGTATAGTATATTTGTATAATATATTATTACATTTAATACGCTAAATTTTATTAATATATTTAATAAATAAATAAATAATACATTTTGCAGATTTCTTTACAATAAAACTAAGGTTAGATTACTTCAATGAAATTCTTAAAATATAATAGTTATTTTTAAACTGATCATGGTTGGCCTCCATAATCTAATTAGGGGGACTATTGTGGTACAATAATAATTATTGTGATTTGAACCTATCACCTTGACCTTCTGCTTAAGTGCTTACCCATATAGATGTTCGACTAGCTACCGGGACTTTGAAAGCAAATAGCTCATGATTTTTTTCATAAGTTTAGGGGGAATGATAGTAATTTAAATATCAACTCCATAAATAAACCACGCCTTTTATCCCCGATGGGGTGGGCAGAGGTGCACAATTTGGCACTTAATGCCACTGTATCATGGAACACTCACTTTTCATTATTTTTTATGTTATGAGTCCCATGTAATAGGGGGTGCGCCTATTGCCATATACCAGGTATAATCCCAGACTCCGTGCTACCACTAAGATTTTTTTAAAACCCAGATTACCGTTTCTATTACGGTATTGTACACTAGTACTATTACGGGAAACGAACCTGCAAAACGACGCAGCAGTATTAGGTAACTAGATAATGTTTTGGCTAAATGAACACACAGCGAAACACGACGAAACACAACGCAAGCGTTGCTTCACGTCGGTTTTCTCTGAGGCTGTATCACTCCGGTCGAGCCGGCCCATTCGTGCCGAAGCATGGCTCTCCCACACTTAAAGTCTTTGAAATGAATTCTGTTGTTAGAGAGATATTAAATGAAAAAGTTTATTGAATGCAATGTTAATATGGTATGAAGAATTGAAGACAAACGCGAAAGAAAGTGTGCCACACTGTTTTCAATTACAAAAATATGTTAAGTCTTTTATTCGTGAAGTAGTTTGTACGTTATTTTTTACTGAAGAATTGATCTTTAATATTTATGTCATGTCTAATTGGTTCGTTAATGGCAAGATGGTTGTTTAAGAAATAAATTAGTCTGAATAGGTCACCTGACAAATCGTTCTTCTAAGGCGAAGAATAGGAATACTGTCAGTCAATGATCATAATTTGACAATGGTTTCTGTATTATTTTCGGTGTTAATTAAATAAAATTAATAAAAAAATGTTACATTCATATTATTGTGGTTATTGGTCTCGAACTGACCTAATTAATATAACTTAAGTGGGTAGAACTCAATACTATCTAAAGAACAAAAATGCAGTTGCCAATAATACTTCAATCAAAATGTAAAATTACTAAATTAAACCAATCACAAAATCACACGCCACTGTCAGTTATTTTAATTAAAAACGAATCGAACTTTAAAAATAATAACGAAACAGAATAAGCTTTCACATTTTAAAAATAAAGAACGATACTTCTTAAAAAAAAACAAAAGAGGTTACAAAACAAATAGAACACATTCCCTTTTTAAAAAAGATTAAAAAAGAAACAATATGTAGAACACGTTCCCTTTAAAAAAAAACTAATATTTAAAAACTCACATGTCAGTTCCACACAGGCACACAGAACACTATGGTTTCGCAATTTTTTTTTAAGGCAAAGGTATGTCGCGTCAGCCAAGGAACAAGGCTGTGCGACTACTAAGACGAACCTCTCTCCGCGTGTTGTTGAGAAATGCATTCAATGAGCACTGAGCACATACACGGGCCGACAATTGAAATATCGTGAGATGAAAATATTGATTCTTGATTTAAGTAGTACAGTATTTCTATACCAATATGACGTTTTCGCGGGCAATAAGTTAATATCGTTAAGATGGGAATTCGTAAATGAAACGTACTTATAGTTAAAGTAATCAAAATGCTTTGAAATGCCTATTTTGCTTTAAGAACATACTTCATGTAATAAGGTTTTATTGGTAAGTATTTGAAAAATCTATAGTCCAGTAGTGCATCATTTCTTAAGTTAATGCCAAACAAAAATAAAACCTGGAACTTCAGATGGAACCTTCTTTTCCAATGACACATGAACAATGTCTTTGATCTTGATTGTAATGTTTCTAAGTCTAGATTTCTTATAAATTAAGATATTATAACAGAAAATGGCAATAGTTTACGATGAACCATGTTAATTAATATTAATCATAATAAAATGTCAACAAATTTACAGACCGTATGTTTCCACAAAGTCCTACAGAATCGAAAGTTCGTTTAACGCGGGTATATTGTAAATAAGTGTTGCATTATTAGAACATTATTACCTTCATAATTATATTTATGATATGGTGAATCAACATTTACAATATCGGTTCAACATTTTTCAACGAATAGTTCTAATATGTCTATTGATATAGGTGTTTTTTGCCCCGAAGTAATCCTCATTACCATGGGAATATTAATATAGTTTGTCTCGTATACTGCCTCATATGCGTTGGCTAGAGAATAATGACATTTTTTTTTTTGAATTTGAATGTGAGGTTAGCTTCGGATTGCGTGATATTGTTTCTTAAACCTTGTATAATAAATAATTATGTCAATTAAATAACTGTATTAATGGATGACGACATAAAATATTGCAGGTAAGTAAATTATTCAGAACTATTAGGTACCACTTTAATTTTTTTTTCCGCAGGTAATATTTTTACCAAAAAATAAATACGTAAAGATAACACAATAGATATTAATGATCTATCAACATTAGCTATAGGCAAACTACCTACCATAGCTATTATTTTTATCCTGGTCTGGTTCTACGAAGACATGCAATTACTCGAACAGGATTCGAAGGGGTTAACGTAACGTCAAGGGCCGTCGAAAGGGCAAAAACCTACGAAGGACTGAGGGCGATGAGGAGTTATTATTAGACATCATTTGCGGTGTAAAAGAACCTAGGTGTAAGTGGAGGCGGTTTGTCAGTTATGGTTTTTGTGAAATACAACTAATTGTCTATTGCTACGTTGTCGTTTGGTTAACCGAGGTGGTAGCAGAGTAGAATACTTTCTGTAAGTACCGCTACTACTCCCGTGGGTATCGTAAGAACCGATTAAGGTACTAATTCGAAAACAAAGCGACTTGAACTGCGATTTATTTTGGGCTGATGCCGATACGGAGCCGCGGAAGACTTAACAGGTTGCCGGGGCTCCGGCTCGAAGTGCTGGAGTAGGAACGGGGTGGTTTTTAGTCAGTAGGAATCTCCCTCTCGCCTCATCCGGACGGGAGAAGTCATAAGATGATCAAAAAACCCACTTATAATAAAAACAGCTATTTATTTTTTTCAATTTGAATTCTAACAAGTCAACAATTATCTTTATATAAATACAAACATTTAATTTTTAGACAAATTTTCCGTGGTGCGTGGCGACTTCGTGGCTTAGGCTTTTCTCAGTCGTGTAGTCTCTTTTGTGCCTTTAGGCTTTAGTCATTCTGTCTCCTACATCAATTCACCGAGGGAAGTAGAAACTATCGTTTTTCCTTCTTCTCTATTAATATCTTCAGATTTAATTCATTATGGGATCCAAGACAGTTATTCATGTCGCTGGTACGCACCGGACTTCAGTGTTCCGGTGTTTTCATGGTTATATCTAAGTACTGTAGATCCTGGCTTACAGGAGTTGCAGCGGTTTTGGAAGTTTGTAGCAGGCTTGTGCCACAAAGAAACAAATACAAATATAATCTTACTGAACAACAAAAGCGATTGTTTTAAAATTTTCGGTTGTAGCACATTTGATACAAAAGATGTTATATTGTGTTCTAAGTACTTATAAACTTAATTTGTAACGTTAGTCACGTACGGACAGAGATGCGTAGATATGTATATTGATAACATTGTGCATGCATGTCACATTTGTATAGTGGTTACAGGTTAGCGGAGAGTTAGCGGGAGCGATTTTTAAGCTTATTTTTATTGACGTATATATATCTGAAACAAACAAATGATACGTTAAATGTGTTCATCTAAGTACGTCTTTGATTAAAAACGGTATGATATATGCTATGGGTGTTAATTATAAAAATCCCAACTATCTGAAAGGTGAAAATGTTAGAAGCAACAACATCATCAACTTGTATTCTATATTCCGTGATCAACATCAACAGCCTTTAAGTGGCCACTGCAGACCAAAAGCCTCTTCTCACACAGAGAAGGTTTAAGCATTAATGGCCACGCTTGCACAATGCGGGCTGACAATTTCAAACCATTTAATTAGAAATTATAAGCCTAGGTTTCCTCACGATGTTTTCCCTCACCGTTTGTTAGTGGTGTCTAAATACTTAACCTTAGAAAGTACATATAACTCGGGAAAACTCAAATTGGTACCTACTTGCTGTTGGTAGCTTTCGAATCCGTAACCTCATGCATGAGAAGCGTCTCAAACCATTTGGCCACCACGATTCATTCGACTCAACAGGCATCGAAAAAAAAAAAACGAAAGTAAGAAAATTCCAGTAAAACTCTATGATCAAAACTTCAAAAGTATTTTCGTTTAGGTATGGCCGGAGAATATAGCCTTTCCATTTAAATTATCGCCGTCTCACAACAGAATTATTACAATGATAGTCTAGGTCCATAACTCTGCACCTACTGATTTTAAGCACCAAATAAATATTGATTCTGTCTGCCAATGAAATCACAACCTTATATCTAAGTCGAATAAGGAAACATAGTTCAAGTACATACGTAATGTGTGCTTATGTCTCATATGAAGAATTGTTCTATAATTGTTAACCTCTTGTCCTTTGGTACTAAATGGTTTAGCCACGCTTTAACCTTTGTGGTTACATAATATTGTTTTGGTATTAAGAGGTTAATTGGTTACTTGCAACTAGTCAAATTCAATATGTACTTTTTTCGAACTGTCAAAATCGACAGTTTACTCACTATGAATTTTTTACGAGATTGTGTATCGTGACGTCACGTTTTTTTAGCGTCAAACAGCATACTTTTTTTTAAATGCTAGAAGTATGCTAAAGGTAAGTTGGTCATAAAATCAATTAATGAAAGTGTGATTATGTTTTAATATTTAATAGTATTGAACAGTTGAAAAAAATTATTTTTGATCATGGAATGTACCCAACTGTTTTTACAATCACTTAATTTCTTTTTATGTTTTTTTTTTGTAGATTTAGTGAAACCATGTGGTGATAGCACTCTATGGTATATATATCAGCTACCCTACTTTTTCACGGATGTCCTATGAACCAACCAAGTGAAGACATTAATTTGATAACACAGATACCAAGCAGCAGCAGTCTCTGATGAAGTCCTTTAACTGCTATCTTTAACCTGTCTGCCAAATGTGGAGACCATGGCCAACTCCTCTTATGTAGAGGACACTCACAGTCCCTAGTGGCCTCGAAAGAAGATTGCAGTGAACTCTCACAGGCTTTTGATGTTGATGATGATAACGCTGATGACGTTTTTGCAATGTTCGAAGTTAGGTAGGTGTGGTATATTTAGTACGCAAATAATTAAGACTATTATTAAATCATCTAAATTGGCTTCAATAAGGATGATGACAGGGTAATGAAAATTAAAAATATAATTAGTCCGTCAGTTAGGTAATGAAAAAATATTAGACACGTATTTTTTATTTTGTTGTAATAATAAAATGATACTTAGATATACCGAATCAAAGTTTAGAACTGGAGACTAAAACGTCATTTCTACGTATAAAATGTACATAGAAGTGACGTCACGTGACATTTCAAATCGATATATCGTCGAAACTATTCGTTTTCGTAAAAAATTAAAAATACGTGTCTAATGATTTGAAATAATCTACCAGACGGACATTAAAATTAAAATTAGTCATCTACCCTATTGTCACATTAATTTATTTAAGCAAAGGACGTTAAAAAAGAGGCTAATGTAAAATCACTTAGTAATGATTGAAACACCAAAATGTCTGTGGTGTATTTATGTGTGCGTGTACTTACAACACCATAATGTATGAAGTGTTATGTCATGCGACAGATGTCCTTTATGTCAATGTGTGTTTCGCGTGTAGCTAGTTCAATAGTAGCCAGATGCCGCAGTCGTTGTTCCAGGAGACTATGTCCGCCTTTTCTTCAATGTCCTTGTGTTTAGGTGTTTTATGTACGAATCCTTTACAAAATTTCAAACGTTATACTTACAACGTATTGTCACTTCAATACATAGTATAAAACAAAGTCGCTTTCGCTGTATGTCCGTATGTATGCTTAGATCTTTAAAACTACGCAACGGATTTTGATGCGGTTTTTTTAATAGATAGAGTGATTCTTAAGGAAGGTTTGTATGTATAATACATGCATATTGCACCCGTGCGAAGCCGGGGCGGGTCGCTAGTAATGCATAAATAAATATTATATCTTACTCGGTTTTCATCATTGTGCAAATAGTATTATGTTTATACTTTAACTAGACTTGGTGTGAAGTGTCCATCGCACATTCGTATCTTTTCTCATTATCTATGTAGATATTGTATAGGTTTGCTGTTTGCTAAGAAGGATATCCGGGTCTAAGATGCAAATACTTGTACTTATTGTGTTGTAACATAGTTATACTATTACTACTTTACTGTTTTATCATAGGGATAAAAATTGGAACTAAATGGTTTAGCCACGTTTTAAACCCTTGAAGTTACATAATTAATATTGTTTTTTCTCTTGAGGTTATAATTATTTATTAACAATCAATTAATTTCTTTAAGGTGCTCCCTCACCAGGAGCATGATCACGCGTAATGTAAGATTATAGATTCGGCTTTGAGCATTACATTACAATAATACCTCCCTGACTAACGAGCATTTGCGAGTAATGTAACATATAGATGCGACTTTGAGCATTTAATAGATGATGTCAGACATTGATGTTACAAGTTGTATCAAAATATTACACATTGTATAATTACAAGTCACCTGTCCCATTTATGATTTGTTCGTTTAGTACCGACAGGAGTGAGATTACGTTCCAGATTTTGTGCCACACGACGAATAAGCATAAAAATGAAATAACTTTTTTTTAGAATCATTTAATTTATCACAGACAATCACCACACTTAAAACTAGTTAGAAAATTTTCTTTTCATTAAATAAGAAGCATCTCCCATAATATCCCGCATATTCATACTAACCTTCATTACCTTAAGTAATAAGAACTATTTTGCAGCCCTTTTTATGTCATTTGATCTTATTTTAAAAGATATATTACGTAGTTTTGTGCTAATGTTTATTTAAAAAATATATATTACTTATTTCATGCCAATGTTTAGTTATAGATTTATTTTTAATAGTGAACAAGACACAAACAAGTTAAGAGCAAGAAAATATTGAGTGGTCCTATTATAGCGCCTTGTGGCATACCATAGCAATTCTACTGCAAACCACAAAGATTATTGCATTAAGTACGACAAATATTTAGGTAAGGCGTTAAAATTAAATATTTAATTTAATATTTGAGGGCATAATATAAATGCAAGTAGTATAAAAAGGGACCTATTTATTAATATAACTCATCGAATGCTTTTTAGCAGTCTAATCTTAAATCAAAATCTTAGTCATTATAGAGGACGAAAGCATTGATAAGGCTTATTATTTTGAGTGGTTGTGTACTAAATATAACAGTTGAGTTACAAAGTCAGTCAATTCGTGCCTAACAATGACACACAGTAGATATTAAACGAAGACGTTTATGATCGGAATGAGTTTATATATTTCTCAGAATTAAAAGTAACCTATGCTCCTATAAAGCCTTACAGAGTAATCTAGGTTTATATTAGTGCTCTAATCTATAGCCAGCTGTCTAAAGGATCCATCAATACCGAAGAGTTCGTCATAATTAGTTGGTTTTCCAGGTCGAAGGGCCTCGTTAGCTTTGAGATTTTCTTGAGCTTTGAACCAATCTTTATATTCTTCTAGTTTCTTTATCCAGGCGCCTGAAATTTTTATGAAATAGATAGATTAATACCACCATATCAGCTAGGTACATAAATGTATTTTTTTTATTATTTCCACCATTATCTAATACCTCAATGATGGACAAGTTATAAAAGAAATTAAAACTTGAAAAGCTTGAGTGGTCCTATTATAGCACCTAGTGAAATACCATAGCAATTTCATAGAAGATAACAATGCTCTAAAAATGTCAATATAAGATGTTATATTATTTTTAATTTTTAGATACATGAAACATCAGAGGCGTTACAAGTGTATTAACTGCCTTTTGGGGATTAGGTATATTCGGATTGTTTGGGATGGATTGGGAATAATTGGGCCTCCGGTAATCTCACTGACAAGACGAAATACAACGCAAGGTATCACTCCGTACGAGCGCCCATTCCTGCCAAAGCATGGCTCTCCCGTACTTATTATGTATGTACCAGTGTACCTACAATACATTGTATTGTTTCAAAAGTGTAAAGTAAAAAATCTGAAGTATACTTACTGTTGATCTCCTCAAGAGGGCAGCCAGTGCCGCCATATTCTGTTGGCAGCAACTCCTTAGGTACGAACTCATGGAGGGCTGTGTAACTGCTGTGGAAGTTAATCTGAAAGATGTAGATAGATATAACAAGATAATTTGGTGTAGTAGACTAGGCGAAAAAATTCAATTCACAAGTTGGCGTAGTAGACTAGGCGTAGATGTCAATTCACGCACTGAACATTATTTTGTGGGATCCACACTTTGTTGTTACAAGTCTACTGTTTGCAAAATTCTAATAACTCAAAGGAGCAATCTAGTGTGGAGCTATACCTCTAAACTTAACAATGACACGACAATAATAAATCATGATATGTGCTAAGGGATCTGTTAGATGCAGTCTCTGTGGGAGGCCTACTCAGGCCTACGCTAATTAGTTTACTAGTAAAGTATTAGTGAGTGATAACGCAATAATAAACTTACTCTCTGCCTCATCTTTTCCTTGAGGAAAGGTTTGATAATGTTATAGATCGTTTCCACCAAAGGTGTTGTGTTCACCACGTGGACTTCCTTCAGTTTGATTGGGTACGCTTCCTGAAATATTATAAAATAACTTTTATTAGTTTAAAAAACTCTTAAAGGATATATACTCAGTAGTCAGTAGCATCAAACACCGAATTGCTATACATAATACGCGTCACCAGTTAGAATTTGATTAATTTTATAAATTTTCCTTGGAATATTAATGACGTCAGGCAGTTGGTAACTTTACTTGTAAGTTTTCTAGTAACATCTTTTGGTTAATTTATTGCTGGATCGAAAACAATATTAACTGATTTCACAAAAGGATGAAATTTCTCATTTTGATCGCATAAATGCATTTTCTTACATGAACTGTTTGAAGACAGTACGTAAATGGTATTTACCTGAACACAAATGAAGAATTTCTTCAACGCTGAGGGAGATAGTTTGCCTAAATGACTGGGGCTGACTACAGAAGCATCTAGAATGTATATGTCTCCAGCCACACCTTCGATTTCTTCCATCAATCTGACGTCACCGATCATCATGGCGATCTTGAACGCGTCGTTCAAGTTTTGCGGGTCCATTCTTTTGTCAAGGGCTGGAAATTCAAAATGGTGTCTATATGAGTATTGTGTGCAATCATAGAATTTTATCACCCGTGCACTTCGCACTTTCATTAGATGCATACAGAAATGTGAAATTAATTTGTGCAAACTTTATTTCGAATGTGGACAGGCTTCAAAATAACATTCAATAAAAGGAAACAATTCAGAAGCCCTAAAATAAGGGCAAATTCGTTAAGAGCAAAATATTTGTAAACAGTTTACATCAATAAGTACAATTATCACGTATTACAAACTATCGTATTGGTGTCTTAACAGGATTTCCTACAAATACAGCACTGTTAGAATTGTCGGGAAATAATAAAAAACTAGTGAACTATATTGCCAATCGTAATTCAAGTGGAACAGTTTTCTCTGGTAATTATTTTAAACATGCGATTCCATTAACACTCGATAAGGAAAATTATGGCTACAATGATTCACCAGGAAAATATCCTAGTTAGGTATATTCTTTATTCCTGTTTGTTTCTAGGATTTATCATAATGGACATAACAAAATATAAATAACCTAAGCAGAATCTCGTATATCCACTAGATTTGCGAAATACTAATAGTCCGGTCAATTTAGACCAAAAAATGAGAGTGAAGTTACATAAAGTCCCAACAAGCTGAATTTCTGTGAAGTTGTTCAAAACATAATAATAAACAATTTCTAGAAGTTCCCAATCATTCCCCTGTAAGGAAAAAATTTAATTCAAGGTCAAAGGTCAAAAAAATGAGTTTTTCGCGATTTTTAGCAAAACGGTAAGTTTTATCATAAAAGTACTTCAGACAAAAATTGTAGATCATAAAATTATCCATAAAAATGTATCAATACTTTTTTCTTACGAGCCATCGTTTCTGAGATATAACGATTCAAAAAAATATAAAAGTTGTTATCGTCATAATATGCACACGTTTCCACGCCACCTATGAGATAGTGTACTTAGCGCGTTTTTTTTAACGTGGTTTTCCCCAGTACTACTCCACGGGTCAGTTGTGATCCTGTGTAATGTAAGACTATTGCAAAATAACGGAAATTATCAAAGATTGGGAAAGATAAAAAAAGGAAAAAAAAAAATTAAATTAGCTTGTCTTCCTCCAACCTTAGTTGCTGCTCACCAACATCTTTTTCTAGTATATTACCAAGTTCAAGTGCGGCTTGGTTATCAGCTAGACCCTACAGACTGGGGTTGGAAGTTGGTCAACAATATATTAGAGCCAGTTCAAACTTTACTTCCACCTGCGCCGGAAAAACTGCTGAACTCTATTTTTTGCAACTGCAAAATGGGATGCAGTGCTAAATGTGGTTGCAAAAAAGTCGGACTGTCTTGTTCTTTGGCATGCACAAATTGTCAAGGCCGGTCGTGCTCTAATATTGAATCACAAACAATGGAGGATTCGTTTGACTCCGACGAAGTATATCATGCGATACATCGCTATTGACGCAATTTACTTGCATCCAAAATGAAGATGGAGAAGAAGCAGGAGAATAGGAACAAGAAGAAGATCAAGAAGAGGACCAAGAATTTGAAACTTACGAATAAGACAAATAAGACGAATAAACTGCAACACTTTTTTTTCATTTACATCGCTTTTATCTTTCCCAATCTTCGAAAATTTCCGTTATTTTGCAAAGTTTTACATTAAACAGGATCACAACTGACCCGTAGAGTAGTACTGAGGAAACCACGTTAATAAAAATGCGCTAAGTACACTATCTCATAGGTGGCGTGGAAACGTGTGCACATTGTGACGAAAACAACTTTTATATTTTTTTGAATCGCTATATCTCAGTAACGATGGCTCGTAAGAAAAAAGTATTGATACATTTTTATGGATAATTTTATGATCTACAATTTTTGTCTGAAGTACTTTTATGATAAAACTTACCGTTTTGCTGAAAATCGCGAAAAACTCATTTTTTTGACCTTTGACCTTGAATTAAATTTTTTCCTTACAGGGGAATGATGGGGAACTTCTAGACATTGTTTATTATTATGTTTTGAACAACTTCACATAAATTCAGCTTGTTGGGACTTTATGTAACTTCCAATATCTAAATTGACCGGACTATAAAGAAGGGCCAAAATCAAAAGAAAGACTGATAACTGTATATGAGAAGATAGAGAAGTAACTGTGTAGGAATCGTATCAATTGGCATTCTATACTCTCTACCTGTCGCGGAAAACCTAATGGGTTACCGGGGCTCCGGCTCGACGTGCAGGAGAAGGAACGGGTTGGTTTTTAGTCAGTAAGAGTCTGACACTCACTTCCGCCTCACCCAGGCGGGAGTAGTCATTCGATGATTTTCCCCCCTTGAAAAAAATACTCTCTACCTACCCCCAGGGGAAACAAGCTGGCTATGTAAATTAGAAAAAAATAAGAAGTGTCTTCTTAAAAATAATATAATAAAAGCCTAAACAGTTGCTAGTAAACAATATTACGGTGGCTTGTGAACTCATGGTGGCCCGAAGGTTTGATACCCCCGCTTCTCATGCATGGAAGTGCGAGTTCAAACTTACCAACGGCAAGTACCAATGTAACTTTTTCCGAGTTATATGTACTTTCTAAGATTATCTAGACACCACTGACAAACGGTGAAGGAAGATATCGTGAGGAAACCTGGGCTTATAATTTCTAAGTTAAATTAGAAATAAGTTCGAAATCGCCAACCCGCATTGAGTGGTGTTTAATGCTCAAACGTTTTACGTATGAAAAGAGGTCTTCGGTCATCATTGGCCACTTATAAGTTTTGATAATGATGAAACAATATAATATACCAATAACTTATTAGCAAGAAGGTGCTAAACCTTTAAAATCTTACCAATAAGTGAAATGGTATGAAAAGTGCATCTAAATGTGCAATATTTTTCTGCAATATGTAATTACAACATATGTCAGCAACCACATTGTAATATTTTTTAACACACCCAATTAAGAACATGTTAGTAATAGTACAAGGTGTCCCTAAGGGTGTTAGCATGGGTCCAACGTAAAATTTTCTGGGTTATTTGAAGTTTGATAACATCTAACGGGTTATGAAAAAAACTGATTAATCAATGAGCTTTACTGTATCATGTAGTAACCTTACCTTTACAAATTGTGACTCGTCTGCCAGAGGGTGTCAATCCTGGCATAGTTGGTCCTTGTCTGAAATGATAGAAAACAGCTAAAATAAAGTTTATGCACTAAAACATAGAACTCAAATTACTAATGAAAAACAGGTAATTATACTGAAATAAAGAGTAGAAGTTGAGATTATCATTTACACAGATAAATTGAAAAGCTTTTGAGAAAAAAACATATTTAACCATCATTAGGACTTACGCTCTTTTCATAAGGTCCAGCAGCTCTGGTCTCGTGATGTCTCTGTTAGTGAAGAACTCCGGGCAGGCACTCCTCATGGTGAAGTACATATCCAGTTTCTTCTTGCACCTCTCCAAAGAAAAGTTGCATCCTCGGAGGAAGCTCATCAAACAGCGGTCATCTAAAGAGTGGTAACAGTGAACTGTTATAGACACCTTACAATCGTTTTTATTGCAGATTGTCCCTTACTTTCTGTGATTAAGGTCTATACTATCTGAATCCTGTTGTGTTAATTGTTATTGCATAAGTCTAGTTGATAGATAATGATTTAGGGAAACATCTCTATTATAGATGTGAATCAAAAGTCGAAATATGTCTAACAGATCGACAGCTTCTTTTATTGGTGGTACAAAAAGTAACCCAAATAAAAAAAACTTCATTCATTTTCTCATCCCTCAAACATCATATCATCAAACTCACCCCATTCATCAGGTAGATGTGGCTGCTTCTTCAGCCAATCCTTAATAGTGGCCAGGTCCTGGTCTCGGGTGTTAACATTCTCGTTCAATTCCACTCTGATCTTCTCCCAAAGCTCGCCTTTAGGCTGTACCAGCATTACTGACGCGGAAGCCATTGTGTTTATCTGTAATAACGGAAAATATTTTTGTCAGAATTTTTTTAGGTTAGGATTTAGCGCAGGTCGTAATTAATTTTATTCATGTTTATGATTTTGAAATTCTCAACTACGCCAAAAATTTTTTTCTCTGCTCCTCTTATAAAATCTTCTGGTTTATTTCTTTGCGGGAGCCAAGACAGTTATTCATGTCCTTGAGACGAACCGGACTCCAGTGTTCCGGTGTTCCGGTGTTTGTATCTACTGTAGATTCTGAATTACAAGCGATTTGCTGGTAGCGGTTTCGTAAGGTAATGGCGGGGATATCAAAAAAAAGTTCTAACCTAACATAACCTTTTTTTTTTTTTTTTAGGGGGGAAAATCATCCAATGACTTCTCCCGCCCGGGTGAGGCGGGAGGGAGTGTCAGACTCTTACTGACTAAAAACCACCCCGTTCCTACTCCTGCACTTCGAGCCGGAGCCCCGGCAACCCGTTAAGTCTGCCGCGGCTCCGTAACCTAACATAACCTGCGATACATATAAATATCTCATGATTATATTTGCGCACGGAATCTTTTTTTTGCAAGATGAAAAGGCACTTTATGAAATACAAACGTTATTGCCAAATCTACGTTATCTTATAACTAAATTGTTACATTATTATAATTGTGTTTGTTTATCGTACTTACAGTACTTCTACTAATGGAAGTACTGTGTTGAATTTTTTTAGTGTTAAGTTGAAGATAACTAATATAGCAGCTGTTATTTCCCCTCCCGTAGTACCTATAACTGACATCGACATTTTTGCACAAAATTGTGATAGTATTGACTTCCCAACTATTTTCTAATCATAATCATTGTTTAAACTGTCAAACACCAAGCGGTCACCGGTGACCGCAACCTATTGTTCTATAATTGTGTCTACAAAACCGGTACTCGACGAGTTAATTCAGATGAATATTTCAAATTATGACAAAACTCGCTTATGGTCTTATGGCTTCTAGCATAAAAATAATAATTTATGTGTGGGAGAGCCATGCTTCGGCACGAATAAGCTGGGTCGATCGGAGTGATACCACGGCCTCAGAGACAACTGACGTGAAACAACGCTTCGTTATGTTTCGTCGTTGTGAGTGAGGTTACCGGAGGCCCAATTACCAATCCCTGAATTTCCAACAATCCTCAAATTCCTAATCCCGTGTAAAAATTATCCGGCCTTTTAAAACATTTTAATCATCATTGTCTATCATAAGAATCAAGAATTCGACCGCGTGATCTGTGAATATCTAAGCCAGAAAGTAGGTCAACCCTTTACTAGAACCAAGTTCAAGATCGTTAATGACAAATTGACAATATGGCCGCATGCACGAATATCAGCTGTGTGTTGCGCAACCGCGACATTGAACTCTATTCCTAACTAAATACGTGTGATTTATGTATGTTTGTATTAGATGACAAAATATTGCGAAAATGCAGTTGTTCTGTGTACTGCTTAGTGGAACTCCTTGAAGACGTTGTTTTTCTAATAATATCTATATTTGTTTTAACATTAATTATTACAAACAATATCTCAAGGTGTTTTGGGCTTCGGCTCGAAACGCAGGAGTAGGAACGGGGTGGGTTTTAGTCAGTAAGAGTCTGACACTCCCTCTCGCCTCACCCAGGCGGGAGAAGTCATTGGATGATTTTATCCCCTCAAAAAAAAGGGTTTTTATAAATTATTATGTTTTCGGCTTACTCGCGTAATAATTTGACGAGGAGCTCGATTAGTTTCAAGCCATGCTAGGGCTATGTATGAATGCATGTATGCTCGTGTGTAGGTATATATATTATGTTTCTTTATGTTTATCTCTGAAATATGTAAGTGTATCTATTTTAATTGTTCAATTAATTCGTTGCTTGCTTCTTGCTCACACCATTAACTCTTCTCTGCATTACCCAAAGGTCAGACTGGGAGAAAATGCCTGCGGCATTAAGTCCACCTTATGTACACCTTGTGCATGAAGCTTAAATAAATAAATAAATAAATATTGGTGCAGATAAGAAACTAAGAATGTATGTATAATTAGTCGCCCGAAAAAGTCGTTCTAATGAAATATAGGTACCTTAATCCCAATGTCCATTAAAATCATTTTGGCAGTTTTAATACAAATGGTAAGTTTACTTGCATCTTGTTTGGTCGTAATTATTAGGTACATAATTTTTATTACATACTTAATTAATCTTTTGTACAAGCCTGAGGAAAGCTAGAACTATGATAAGTGGAGACTTTTTTAATAGCTGATTTTGTTTTTTTTTTATTTTAAATATGTATTCACTTTTTTTTTCTTTAAATAATTTTCTTACTGTGTGCCTGTTTTTGATATATTTATAATTTTAATTTTGTCTTAACTGTTACCTATTAAGTCAGTATTCTTGTGAATCTGTAAGTGGCTCAATGCTATTATTTTTCTGCTAAATCTATGTAATGTAGCTGTTGATTCACCATTTAATGAATAAATAAATAACACTTCGCAGATTGTCAAGTAGGTAACATTGCGTCAAGCAAAAACCCGTAAGTTTTTCTCAATGCTCTGTTTTTTACTAAATTTTGAAGTTTGTGAATAGTTCTAGACTATGTAATAAGAATTATAGACACTAACAACTATTGTAAGTTAAGCAAAAAGTTGTCAATCAACACATCAAGCTATAGTTTCGAATTTATCTTGGTCTTGCTTTGTATGATCTGTCCAAACACTCGACGGTCAGTTTATACTGGATTGTTTAGCTTGATGTGAATAAAAGAATTAAGTTCTGTGAGACAAACAAAAAACTATCTAAGTGAGTAATGAATAGAAGTGCATTTATTTTTAACTATCAATTATGACTAGACTGTTAGCGCGATCTTTTGTTGGCAGAAATTCTATAGTATGCCCTAGGATTTTCATTTCCTCCCACTACATTTTTAAAAATATTTATTGAAATGCTTAGTAAGTTAATAGGGTCGTTTCGCCTGTTCGCGTCCGCCCACTAGTTCACGTCCATTTTATCTACGGATCACCATAAATGCAAGATACCTAGGTACTTAAAACGTAAAAATGTCGAACACGTATGTATATCGTGATAGTTTTGTTATTTTCGTAATTTTTCAAAGGGCCATCCCGTTCGCAAACTGGTGGGTGGACACATATACTGTCGTATTAAGAGGTTAATTACCCTTTTTTGAGGGGGAAAAATCATCCAATGACTTCTCCCGCCTTGGGTTGGCTACAGGGAGTGTCAGATTCTCACTGACTAAAAACCACCCCGTTCCTATTCCTGCACTTCGAGCCGGAGCCCCGGCAACCCGTTAGGTTTTCCGGCTTCGTATCGGGCATCAGGGCCCCATCTATGGAGGTTAAATACCCTACAAAGACTAGGTATTTTATTTTTAGAAAACAAATAGCTTAAAAGCTATTTTTTTTTTGCTATACCTACCTAACTCTGTACACAACACATACATACATATACACACAAAAAAATGTAGAAAAACATACTTTTGTCACGCAAAAAGCGAGAGTTCAAACGTTAATTATCATTCAAAATGATTAAATAATAGTTATGTAAGAAAAATATTTGAAAATACTAAACCTTGACTCCTTGGGTCGTGTTTATGATCACTAATTCATAATAGTCAGGTAGCAGTAACTAATAATTATTTGGTTAATTGTCTTTGATGGGTATGAACATGCTTCAAACTATTGTTCCTATAAGATATACTAGCTGAACCCGCGACTGGAGCTGTGAATAGTGATTCACAGCTCCTCCCTCGTAAATGATATCATGATAATATGTAACCTATATGTTGACCCGACCTGTTAGTAATATTCATGTAATTTTTTTTATCTAGTACAAACAGACTGACAGACAGACAGTCAAAATTGATGTATTGTATGTATATTCATATGCGGTTATTTTAATATTACAAACAGACACTGCGAATTTATATATATAGAGAACAAAATATATATATATATATAGAGATGAATAGATTGCAATATTTACTATTCAGGAAAACTATAGGATACTCTTACCCCGTTTATCCTGCAGGGTTGGAAACATCAAAGAGGTTAAATACCCGCCGATAAAAGCAAGTTCTTTAGCCTTTAATTGAACCTCGACATTGTCTGAAATGGCTGGACCGATTTTGCAAAACTTTTATTAGCAGGTATCTGATGTATTCAGCAGTAACATAGGCTACATTCATTTTGGAAAATTGAAACAAAAATATGTTATATCCTAAAATTCATATTTTACGCTTACGGAGTTGCAGGCAACAATTAGTAGTCAAATAAACTTCCAAATGTGAAATCGGCCAGTTTCACAGTCTATTCAAGGGAATTATTACAGGGTTTAAAAATAAAATCTCAGTAGTTGCACGGAGTCCGGAATTGTGCCCGGTATGTGGCAATAGGCTTACCTCCCATTACAAGGGACTCATAAGTGAAAAGTGAGTGTTACATTGTACAGTGGCATTAAGTGCCGTAATGTGCACCTCTGAAAATCCCTTTCGGGGGTAAAAGGCGTGATGTTATGTTTGAGATGATACTACATACCTAGTATAAAACAAAGTCGCTATCCGTCGTCTGTCTGTCCCTATGTATGCTTAGATCTTTAAAACTACGCAACGAATTTTTTGCGGTTTTTAACATGCATATTGCTCCCATGCGAAGCCGGGGCGGGTCGCTAGTTATTTATAAAAATGAATAAATAAATTATTGAACAACAACAACTTACGAATAAATATTATTAGTTCCTAATTTTGTATTTTAACTCCAAGCTTTAATTTCAGTTAAACAATTATTAAAAACCACACTCTTGCCTCAACAACACTTGCCGAATGATATATTTAAACTATAAAACAAAATACTTGCGATCAAATGAACAAAATACTAGCGATCAAATGAACTGAACCACTCCAAGTGAACCTAGTGCCCTAGGCACGCTAGGTACTACATTTTCGTAACACTAAGTGAACGGAACTAGCATTTTCGTTGCGAAAGCTAATTCTTGACTTAACTGGTCGACCGGCGAGCATGCCGTATTTAGTCAGTTTGTGTTTTTTTTTTAAATTTAAGTTGATGTAATTACATATAGGGATAGGCTAGTATTTCGTCAGCTGTGATTAAATTGATGTCTAATAATAGGGTATCCTACATCTGATTTTAATGTCCGTCTGGTAAATTATTTTAAAACATTAAACAAGTATTTATTTTATTTATTTATTTATCATTGCATGAACACCATATAGAGTATTTTTTCTTTAGCATTACATAACATAACATCACACGCCTTTTATCCCCGAAGGGGTAGACAGAGGTGCACAATATACCACTGTACAATGTAACACTCACTTTTCACTATTTATGTTATGAGTCCTATGTAATAGGCGGTGAACCTATTGCCATATACCGGGCAACATTCCAGACTCCGTGCTTTTACTGAGATTTTTTTTAAATCCAGTAATACTTTGCCCGTCCCGGGAATCGAACCCGAGACCCCTTGCCGATGACTGCTCCCGCCTGGGTGAGGCGGGAGGGAGTGTCAGACTCTTACTGACTAAAAACCACCCCGTTCCTTCTCCTACACATCGAGCCGGAGCCCTGGCAACCCGTTAGGTTCTCCGCGACATGTATGATAGTATTTTTTTTTTTTTTAAGGGGGGAAAATCATCGAATGACTGCTCCCACCTGGGTGAGGCGGGAGGGAGTGTCAGACTCTTACTGACTAAAAACCACCCCGTTCCTTCTCCTGCACGTCGAGCCGGAGCCCCGGTTACCCGTTAGGTTCTCCGCGACTCCGAATCGGCATGTATGATAGTATAACGTGTTGATTTTATAAGAATTAAGGTTAATTAAAATCATTAGTTTTCCTTTCTTAATGAAACTTAAATTTACACTTAACATTTTCGATTCCCGGGTCGGGCAAAGTACCCACTACTGGGTTTATAAACAAAAATCTCAGTAGTAGCATGGAGTCTGGAATTGTGCTCGGTACCTATATATCAATAGGCTCACTCCCTATTACATGAAACTCATAACATAAATAGGGAAAAATGGGTGTTACATTGTACATTGGCTTTAACTGCCGTAATGTACACCTCTGCCTACCCCTTTGGGGATAAAAGGCGTAGTGTTATGTTATAAAAAATATCAAAAGTCTTGCAGTGTATAGACTGAAAAGAAATAATATCACCATTACGAAACCACAGGATAACGCACGTAAGCATTCGTATTATTTGAAATTAAATATAGATATATAAAACGTATGCGTCAATATATACAGTGTGAGTCTTTATAAAGTGCACATATTGAAAAGGGTGAAAAAATAAACAATTTTACCGACGGAAAAAATGTCAAAAAATTGAGTTTTTTATGGGCTTTTTTTATCTCGTCTTGGCACCTCATGCAAATAAACTGTCACTACTTTTAAACTAAATAAGATATTAAAACTAAATAAAAATAATAATTATCTCCAATAATAAGCCGAGCTAATAAAGCCATAATTTTTTGAAAAATAAGCCTCATTATTAATAATTGATGATTTTTTGAAAAAAAATTACTATTTTTCTACCATTGTTTGCAATAAATGTAAAAAAAATATTAAAAGCCAATAAAAAATTCATTTTTTTTTAGATTCTTTTTGACATTTTTTCCGTCGATAATATTGTTTATTTTTTCATCCTTTTCAATATGTGCACTTTATATAGACTCACACTGTATATTACATATATGGATTAATCTACGCAAAACCACAAACAGTATGGGCCTGTCATATTTCCGCTGTGTATCTTATCACAAGCCGGCCACTGCCATGTGTTCTCGTAACATAGATATATTATACACTACATACCTCCCATTAATTATTACACTATTCCTTAAATAATTGTTATATATTTTAACTATATGACCTAGCAAACTTTGTACCGCCTTTAAAAATATTTTCTCCCCTTTTTAACCCTTCCTGGACTTCCACACAAATAATTCAAGACCAAAATTAGCCAAATAGGTTCAACTGTTCTCGAGTGCTAGCGAGGCTAACCAACAGCAATAGATTTTTTATATAGGTATATGGTTATTTTTATGTAGGATAGTTAAGATATATTTATAGTAATTATTTTACGTGTAAATTAAACTAGATATTTCCGCGCGGTTTCACACGCTCTGCTTAGCTCCTATTGGTCGTAGCGTAACGTTTTAACAAACAAACAAAAATTCAGCTTTATAATATTGGTATAGATAAGATTGTCAGAAGCACACTGCCTATATTTCATAAACAAAAGAAGAATATAAATAGGTTCCACTCTTGAAAGTGGCCAGCTTGCCACAGATAATATGAAAATATATTATTATGAAAATAATCTTTTTATTTTGTTCCTGTTGAAATTTTGGAAAAGTTGCTCTTAGTTCTTCTATAGGAATGACATGAAACGCTGTAAGAAGACACTTGTAACATATTTCAAATCATTAGTTTGGTCATCAAATTATTTTGATACTATCACATGGAAGATAAGGTACATAATGATTTTGCCACTAATCCTTAGTCAATCCTCATTTTTTTATTAGAAGTACTATTGGTAATCTGAAACTCTATAGGTAAATTAGGAATGATGTGTTTACAATTACTTTGCATTGTAATGGATTTTGTACTAACTTATTAAACTAATTGAATTTAGCATAAGTATTTTACCTTCGTCCTAAACAGTCAAAGGATAGAACAAACTAAACAATCGAACTATAATCTTTCTCTAAATAAAATAAAACAAAAATATAAAATAACTACTCACCGCAAAACTAAACAAAACAATCCTTGCAACAAAAAATGAATAAAAATAGAATAACGAAATATTTCAGCGGAGTGTCACGAGTCGCAACTGACAGTCGCGTGCGTCGCCTACCACCGTACTGTTGACAATGATACTAAGTTTGTTTAACGAGAATAAAATCTCCGTGAGATCGTTATTTTCACGGACAATTGCCACAGACGTTATACTGAGGGCAATGTTATGAACAAAAAATATTTACCGCCATTTTTCCTTAATTAATGTACTAAAGATCGCAGGAGAGTCTACTACAAGCCTCTCTGTCTATAATATTCATCAGTATAATAAAATCAGTAAACTCAATTCTTCCCGAGTGTATGGCGCGTCGCGTTCTGCGCACGCTTCAAAGAGCCATCAGACCACCACGGATGGGGCCCAATAGGATTGATGCTGATAAAGAGCCGCGGAGGACTTAACGGGTTGCCAGGGCTCCGTCTCGAAGTGCAGGAGTAGGAACGTGGTGGTTTTTAGTCAGTAAGAGTCTGAAACTTCCTCCCGCATAACCGAGATGGGAGAAGTCTTTTGAAGACTTTCCTCCCTTAAACAACTAATATTATAGTTTATTTACTACTAGATACATGCTTTTTCAGAATTTACTCGTTCGCCGAGTGATACATCTTTTTTTAACGTTGCCCCACACTAGAATGTTCTCTTATGTCGTGGGTGCGTTTACAAACATACAAGTTCACATACATATGACACACAGACCCGATACAACTATTTGTGGATCACACAAAGAGTTGCACTATGCAGAAATTGAACCCGCGACACGTTGCGCGGCAGCCGGTTGCCCAGCTACCGCACCAACCGTGCTGCCGAATCCAAATTTTGTTTAGATACTTTGGCTCCATTTAAGGATATTGGAAATATGGAAATTCTCATAATAACTGATCTAGGCAATAAATTTGAATAAAATAAGACCAATCGTTCGACAATCGCTTACGCCGAAATGATTAAATACGCATTTGAAAGAATTTGCAGTTTAAAATAGGAACACGAAATAACTTCGTAACTTTTTTATGTAATAAGCCGGTAAACGAGTATACGGATCACCTGATGGTAAGCATTCGGCGTCGTCCATGGACACCCAAAACACTAGAGGTTACAAGCGTGTTACCGGCCTTTTGGGCATTAGGAATTTGATGATTTTTGGGGATTCGGGGATTAGGGAAATTTGGGAGGGGGGTAAAGCGCGTGCATTGTTTCACGCCGGTTTTCTGTGAGGCCAGCCAGAATCATGGCTTTCCCATACTTAAAAATTGACTCTTCGATTAACTTCTTAACTAGCAAATTTTATATCGTATTGTGAATGAAGTAATCGGTTCACTCCGATATAAATCTGTAACTGTGTACGATTGGTTTATGTAATCAAGTCTCTGAGTTAATATTAGTATTTTGTCATAATACTGCAACGAGAACTAATTGTCTTTCTCTTCAATTATTATGGCTAATAAAATTATTTTTTATGAGATAGCAGACGTTTCACTTGCGGCGAACAACAGACGCCTTACTGACTATTAGAAGATTTGGAGTAATCAAAGAGAAATCAAACAAAATGGCATTTTAATAATAATAAGCTATAGCAGGATTATTGCGGTGGAAATGAGAGCCCTGAGAAGTATGTGTGGACTAAAATTGAGTGATCGAGTAAAAAATAGTGTTATTAGAGAAAGGTGTGGATTGAAAGATGATGTAGTGACAAGAATTGAAAAGGGAATGTTACGCTGGTTTGGACATGTAGAAAGGATGGATGCAAGTAGAGTAACAAAAGAAGTATACAGAGCGGATATTAATGGGGCCGTCGGTGGAGGGCGCCCTAGACGGACATATAGTGACCAGATTGGCGATATATTAAAGAAGGGCCAAATTAAAAGTACCCTTAACCGACGAGCATGCATGAAAAGATTGATGACTGTTGATGAAGCGAAAGAGGTATGTAAGAATCGTAGTAATTGGCGTTCCTTAGTCTCTGCCTACCCCCATGGGAGACGGGCGTGAAGTTATGTATGTGCTTTAGTTTGTTTCAGATTGAAGTTTTGAAAACCCAGAGGAGAAATACTGAAACAAATGCAAAGGTTTACTTGTATGCCCATTTTTTAAGGGATATCTAGAGGTATTTTGTAAATTTTTAAATAGCGCCTTACTTATCGGGCTATTGTTATTGAGTGTGGGATGCCTACAGTCTTGCGTTATTAAAACCATTCTGGTGATCATCTTATACTATTATATCTTAAACTATTATATAAAGTGGAAGTATTTGTTTTTTGTTTGTTTGTTTGAACGCGCTAATCTCGGTAACTACAAGTCTGATTTGAATAATTATTTTTGTCTTGGATAGCGCATTTATCGAGGATAGCTATAGGGTATAAAATATCACGCTACGACCCATAGGAGCTGAGCAGAGCGTGTGAAACCGCGCGGAAGTAGCTAGTCATCAATACTTAGATAAAATACATCATAAGCTCTAATAAGATTTTCGACATAATTCAGTTGAGTCAAACGGAAAGACATCCTTTATACTTAAATTCTTAATTTCAGGACTATTTTTATACAAAGTCATAATACATTACGCCTTTTATCCCAGATGGAGTAAGCAGAGGTGCACATTACGGCACTTAATGCCTCTGTACAATGTAACACCCAATTTTTATTATTCATATTATGAGCCCCATGTGATAGGGCGCATTTTCAGACTCCAAGTAACATTTCGCCCGACCCTAGAATCGAACCCGAGACCCCTTGCCCGGCCGTCGCACTTGCGGCCACTTGACTAACGGGGCAGTCACATCCCTAGATTAATAAAATGTCGCGGAAAACCTATCGGGCTACCGGGGCTCCAGCTCGACGTGCAGAAGAAGGAACGGGGTGGTTTTTAGTCAGTAAGAGTCTGACAGGCGGGAGGGACCGCCTCACCTAGGCGGGAGCAGTCATTCCATTGTAGGGAACAGAGAGTATAGTTCCCTAAGATCGGAAAAGGAGGATCCTCCGACCAGGCGAGGTGATCGTGCCTGGCGGGCTTTCTGCCCAACAGTTGTTCGTTGGGATTTTCTATCCGTGTTAAATCCAATGTAAACTTCGCATGTGCGATGTAGGATTTTTATGACGTCATCCGTTAGAATGTACCATGTGTCGCCACACCATGATTTTCCCCCTTAAAAGAAGATTAACTAATAAATTAATATAAAAAATAGAGGAGCCTAGTGTGCTGTTAATACACCCCTGTCGTTACGCATCTTAGACATAATATTATGCGTAACTATATGAATAAGATATATTATTTAACTAAGATAAGATATAGCAATAACTTAGATTTTAATTATGTGCATACAAATATCTTAAGAACTTTATGCCTATGAGTCCTTTTTTGCAAATAATCTTGTTTTTCGACACGGTTGGTAATCTTATTGTAATTTAATTCAGTAATTATTATATTTAAAGGTTTGAGAACTACGTCATATTTTCTTATTCAGGTATCAATTATGAGTAATTGAATTTAATAATATAGTTAAATACGTTGAACACGTGAATTTTATAATTATTTACTGCTATCTTTATATTTGGACTGTTATTTTTCTAAATAAATGATAGCTGCATAACATTTTTATTATATCCTTTGAGTTTGAAAACATTTGTATTATATTTTTTTTATGGAATAGGAGGCAAACGAGTAGACGGATCACCTGATGGTGAGCGATCAGCGCTGCCCATGGACACCCAGAGAACTCACAGGTGCGGTAGGTTCCAGTTTCGCATTGGGCGGGAGGAAACGCCCATGTGTCTTCACTGCGAGGACCGTCGAGGGCACGGTTGTATGTACGGCGGCGGTGTGTACTTCGTGGGCTGAGCACCGCCGTGTCCTCAGGGATGTGATCGGCGACGGCGACCTCTTGCGTCTGGCTCTAGTTCAGACCATGGTACAGAGCGAGGGAGACTGGGCTGCCGTCTCTTCTTTCTGCGAAGCAGTCATGCTAGCCAAGGAGGAAGCTAGGCGCGTGATAAAACAAACCTCCTCACGCCCCAGCCGTCGAGAGACCCTCCGGGTTTCGGGGACCGCGAGACGACCTCTGGCAACGGATATTTTAAAATATTGCTTAAATAAATTTTAAACTATGTAGGGACTAGAAAAGATTTTCATGTTAATTTTCACGGTCTAAAGAAATCGTGCCCTTGGAATACAAAACACCTTTTCAGTAATACTTCGTACATATCACCAGTAATCCTAAGTTTTATAATAGACAGCTGCCAGTCAACGTACTCAAAAGTCAAACTTTTAGAGATTTGATACTTTATTGTTATGCAACAAAGCCGAAAATCTATCAAAGAATCTAAAGAAGAAAACTAAAGAGAATATGGTGACGGTTGATGAACCATAGACTTATTTTAACTAGACTTATCAAATTGATGACGAAAATCGAACTGTCTAATTAGTGGAATCCATCAAATAATTATTATACTTTCTATAAAAGTACATCTGCCTGCGTAGTGCAAAGTACGACTACCTCTTGGCCGAGTGGTCGCAAGTGCGACTGCCGGGCAAGGGGTCTCGGGTTCGATTACAGGGTCGGACAAAGTATTACTGGGTTTTTTAAACATTCTCAGTAGTAACACGGAGTCTGGAATTGTGCCCGGTATATGGCAAAAGGCTCACCCTCTATTACATAGGACTATTAACATAACTAGTGAAAAGTGGGTGTTACATTGTACAGTGGCATTAAGTGGCGTAATGTGCACCTCTTCCTACTCCTTCGGGGATAAATAGGCGTGATGTATGTTATGTTATGTTGTAAAAGTACATCTCTGGCTGACTTTTTCTAAAGTTTATTTATTTAAATATGCGTGACGTGGTATAGAGCCACATGCGTAACGTTTCTGTAAAAAAATCACCACTAATCTTGTGAACCACAAGAAGTATTTAGTGCAATAATTATTCGCCCATACAGTTATTAATTATTTTTAATACGCATTTTTAAATCAACTCCTGTGAAGTGTGAACTATAGAACGCCACCATTTTTTTCATCCTTACTATAATTATGCTTTAGCTTATACTACGTATAATGCGTTTGATTACAATAGAATGTTTGTTAACCAATTATCCCTATAATCATA